TTATTTGCAGACAAAGTAGATTTTAAACCAAAACTAATTAAGAGAGACAAAGATGGTCACTACATCCTTGTGAAGGGAACAATCCAAGAGGAAGAGATGGCAAACATAAATATATATGAGCCAAATAGAATGCCCCCCAACAATACAAAACAAATACTAATGGACATGAAAAACCAAATAAACAATAACTTAATTGTAGTGGGGGAACTCAACACCCCTCTATCACAAATAGACAGATCATCTAGAAAAAAATTAACAATGAAATTCTAGAAGTGAACCAAGCTATTGAACAAATGGACTTAATAGATGTTTACAGAGTGTTCCACCTCACAAAATCAGAATACACATTCTTTTCAGCTGCACATGGGTCATTCTCCAAAATAGATCACATGCTAGTTCATAGGGCATATCTAAGAAAATGTAAAAGAATTGAAGTCACTCTCTGTATATTATCAAACCATAGTGCAATAAAATTGGAGATCAATAACATAAGAAAACAGAAAACACCCACAGACACCTGGAAATTGAATAACACCCTCCTGAACAACCAATGAGTCACAGAGAAAATTAAAGAGGAAATTAGACAGTTTCTACAAGTAAATGAAAATGCCAGTACAACATACAGAAATCTGTGGGACCCAATGAAAGCAGTTCTATGTGGGAAATTCATAGCAGTGAATGCCCATATTAGGACAACAGAGAGAACTCAGTTAAATAACCTAATGCAGAACCTCAAGCTCATAGAAAAAGAAGGGCATAACAAAACCAAAGGTCATACAAGAAAAGAAATTATAAAGATCTGGGCAGAAATCAATGCAATGGAGACTAAGAGAACGATACAAAAAAAATCAATGAATTGAAGAGCTGGTTTTTTGAAAGAATAAATAAAAGTGATAAACCTTTAGCCAACCTTATCAAAAAAAGGAAAGAAAAGACTCAAATCCATGCAAGCAAGAATGAAAAAGGTGAAGCCATAACAGATCCAGCAGAAGTTCAGAGGATCATCAATACCTACTTTGAGAACCTCTACTCTAATAAAATGGAAAACACAGAAGAAACGTACAGATTCCTAGATAGATACGAAATGCCAAAGTTAAATGAAGAAGATATAGAAATTCTAAACACCCCAATAACAATGAGTGAAGTTGAAAATGTAATAAAATATTTAC